TCATTCTCTGTTAGGGTCTCACAAGACTGGAATCAATGTGTCAGCTGGCCGGGCTACATTCTCCTCTGGAGCTGAGGGGTCCACTTTCAAGGTCACTTCTGTTATTGGTAGAATTCAGTTCCTTGTACTTATAGGACTGAGGTCCCCATTTCCTTGCTGGCTGTCAGGCAGGCACCACTTTCAGCACTTTTGGCAGCATCCTGATCCTTGCACATGGCACCCTCCATCTTCAAAGCCAGCGGTGGCTTTGAAGTGGCTTTCCTTCTAATGCATTGAATCTCTCTGAATTTCCTTCTGCCACCAGCCAGGGGAAACTCTCTGCTTTTGAGGGTCATGTGATTGCATCAGGCTTGGCTAGTTAATCCTCCCATCTCAGGTCAACTGTGGCGTGCAACAAACTTATCGTGGGAGTGGTGGTTCATCATATTTGCAGGTTCTAGGAATTAGGGCATAGAATCCTGAAGGCCAGTTTTAGAATTCCTCTGAAAAAGCTCTCATATTTTCCCAGAGATACGTGATGTGGTTTCCCCAAAATTATTCATTCTTTGGCTGCATTAATAGAAATAAAACATCTAAAATGGTGGTAATGATCCCATTCTCCTCTGCATTGGGCAATCCATGTTAGCGTATTGCATTTCATTCTGGGTGTCAGAAATAAGAGGGAAATGGATAAGCGTAAGCAAGCTCACAAATGGATTCACACCCATGGCCTGTGAAGCGTGGTGGAGGGAATGCACAAACTGAACCTGAAGATGGGAACATGCTGAGGTCACCTAACAACCATCTTCAAATATTTAAAAGCTATAATGTAAGAAAGGAATTTGTTCTGCATAACTCCAGGCTATAAAGCCAAGACTTCATGATGGAAGCTCTAGAAAGATTTTGGCTCAATGTCGGAAAGTGCTTTCTAATAGAGCTGATCTGACTGATTGAGCTACTCTGAGAATGGTGCATCCCCTTTATTGGAGCTGGCCAAGGATAAAATAGGCAACTCCTTGATAGGAATGTTATGAGGGGATTGGGAGCTTGGGTTAAATGCTCTTTCAGATTCCTTGCAGCCTGACCTCATTACCCAACAGTCTTGGCTTCCTTTACAATTGCTTCTTTGGTCCAAACCTTCTGTTTGTATATCCTCTCCCTGGTATGTGTGTCCTTGCTCTCAATCATGATGTTGAGTGTTGCAGTTTGGAATTTGACTCCACCAAGTCTTTCTTTCCAGTTGGCTATTTTCAGAATCAAGGCTTGAGTAACATAAAATACAAAGTGACAGGCTGAAAGAGAGGAAGAAATGGTTGCCCCAGGAAGACTCAGATTAAGCAAACGCATAGGTACAGAGCCAGTGGAGCTATTTCTCTAGGAATGATCATGGGGATAAGAAGCTGGAAGGAAGGGCTAAGACCAGAGGATCAATAGAAGGAGAAAGCATAGGCAGGATATAGGTTCTATCAAATTAGGTCCCAGGACAGCACAGGGTCCTAGACACCAATGGGAACAGAACACAAGGAACAAGATTAATGAAACAGACACAAGGTTAGAAATTCAGCAGAAATTTAAGGACCTTGTCTTGGTAAAATGGCAAAACTTCAAGTATGTGAATGTATACAAGCATGTAGCCTTGACAGAGTCCTGGGTGGGAAGGTGACTGGCAGAAGACAAATAGACAGTGAGTTCCAACATCCAGAAAGAAAGTGGTGGTAGAGATCCAAAGGGGCACAGGGTAAATATTCAATATCAAGTGCAAGAACCTGATCCCTAAAGGCTCAGGGGACCCAGTCGTTGAGACATGGCTCCCAAAGACCCAAAGTCCATCTTCTGAAAGGCTGATTCATGGGGTCAGCGTGTGCCCAATAAGAAGTCTAATGAAATACTGAAACCAAGTAAATCCCTTTGTGTAGTGTTTCTCAGAGTGAATATAGAACTAAGAAGGTGGAGCTGAGATGATTTGGTAAGTGATGTGTGGTACCCCAGCCAGCGAGAGTAGAGGCAAGAAGTAACCGGTAACTAGGTTCCCAGATTACCGGCGTGAACAGTCCCTGGCAGCTCAAAGGCCTGATAGAACCAGCATTTGTCTCTGCCTCTTCTCAGGTTCTTGAACAGTTAGGGAAATTACCATCATAAATGTAAAAGATCATGACAGGCTCCTTCTTTGTTCTATGACTTGCTTTTCCAATCAGGGAATTACTTGTACAGGTAGAGAAAGTATAACAGGTGTTTCACTGACAATTCTGGGTTCCTTTGTCAACATCTCGCTGCTCTGTTTTCATCTTCCTTGGCTAAAGAAGTGCTGTGCCATGTAGTTCAAAAAAGTAACTAGAAAATCTTTGTTTTGAAGAGTAGCTTACTGTCTGAAAACCAGACTACCATTTTAGGGAGAAATATCCTCACCTGTTTCTGAAATAACAAAAATGAATAGTGTTCAAATCATGTTTTGCATATTAAGTGTTCTCTACAGGTGAGCTAGGGTGGAGAAATAAAACCCATATTGTTAAGGACTGAATGTTTGTATCCCCCACCAAATTCGCATGTTGAAGCCCTGACCCCCAATGTGACTGTACTGGGACATCGAGTCTTTAAGGAGGTAATTAAGGTTAAATGAGGTCATAGGGTGGTCCCTAACCCAATAGGACTGGTGTCCTTATAAGAAGAGGAAGAGACAGGAGGGATGTGTGCTCACAGAGAGAAGACCATGTGTGGAAACAGCAAGAAAGAAGGTGGCCATCTGCAAGCCAAGGAGAGAGCCCACAGGAGAAACCAAACCTGCCAACACTGTGTTCTCTGTCTTCCAGCCCCTCGAACTGCGAGAAAACAAGTGTCTGTTGTTGAAGCCCCCAGTCTGTGGTATTTTGTTCAGGCAGCACCCACCAACAAAGACAGCATTCAGAGTCCTTTATCCATTAGCACTGTAGACACAGTGCCTAAGACGTACAAAAGCTTTTGAAATGCTCCAAGACCTGAACAAAGAAAACGTATTGGTTCAAAAATGACAAGAAAACTCCACAATCAAAATGAATTAATATATAATTCAGTGTTTACAAAACGAGTCAATGTTGACTCGGTTATATTACTAAATACTTTATTCTTAACAGAATTCAAAATGATAAAAGAGAAGCTTTAAAAAATTATAGAAAAAATAAACATTGAATGTTGGGGGGGATTTTAATATGTTTGATATGATAGGAGGTGTAGGTCTCCAAGAGTAGGGGTACCCAGAGGCTACCCCGGAGAGGACCAAAAGCTGCTGCACGTTCATTCCTTCACATCAGTTTCCAAAACTGAGCCCCTCCCTCAAGACAACAGATTTTCACTCAGGACAGGAAACCCCCAAAAAGACAAGCCGTATTATTTTACTTTATTCACACAAGGGTGAGATGAGTGACAGCTGGCCTGCTCAGACCCACCTTGCTTCCGAACTCCATGACCCAAGTTGACATTCAGCACTTACCAAACTCTTCCACTAGGGGCAGTGCAGAGTAAAACCTCCCTCTACTCCAAAGGGTCGGGACTCTTGGAGATGTAGTCTGAGGTGACCAAGCAAAGTTTTTTTTGAAAATTAGGGTTTTATCTTAAAAGTGATTGTGTATTTCATTTTCTCCCCCGTAATATGTCTATACTTATTTTAATATAAAAGTAATTTTTAAAAGTATTTACTGATGCGAAAATTTGACATTCCAACAAGATTGGTCATGTTTGTTTTGTTATTCATCCCATCACAGACCTCAGAGGTATGGTATCACAATTTGAGAAATACGGATGTGTAGGAACACTCAAACTCCGCCCCCATAATTCCATCTACCCACTACAATCAGCTTTACCTAGCAATGAAATCATGCTGATTTTGCCTTGCCTTCCAATTGGAAGGCCTCCATCTTTTTACTCAGCCCTCCTTTTATTCAACCTTCCTCTCTAATCCCCTGATACACCCATCCCTGGCCTGCCTCTCCTAGTGCTCATGTTGTCCCCAATCCAGGAGCACCCTCCACATCTCCCCTTCAGTTCAAACACCACCCATTCAATAGGGTCCAGCTGAAGTCAACCTTCTTCCCCTGTAGTCTTCCTCTGACTTCCTCATATAATCATCTTTCTCTCCTCCAAGATGTTAAGATATTTTAGTCTGAACCATTTGTCTGGCATGATACAAGCACTTTCTCATCATCAGTGCTGGTGAGGTTCACAGGACCAGGCAGGATGGATTGGCTTTCTCCCACAGAGGCTGGGTAAGCCATCTGGGCTGGGCCGCAGGGTGAAAAATTGAAGGGCTGACTGACTCCTGATAGACAGAATAATAATTTACAGTTTACAACTGCCTTCTATTTTGCTCTGGTTATTTCATAGATGTACAACTTGTCTCCCAAACTAGACTCTAAGCCTCCACATGGCACTGGCTTTGTTTTTTACTTTTTTCTTTTTACCCTGGTGGAAAAGGCTCCTGAGCAGGACAAACAGTGTAAGTGGCTAATTAATTCTTCTTTTCCTCTATGAGGCGTCTAACTCACGTTCCAGCTCTGCTTAAGGATCCTCATGGCCCAGTCTTTTCATTCTTACTAATTACCTCCTCTCCCCTATCTTGACCCCTTAGGTCAGAAAATATTGGGAAATATAAGATACAGACTTTCCCGTGGGAAAGTGCATGAAGACGCCCAGGATCACTCTGTGAGAACCCGGATTATATGACGTCCCTAATCTTCTTCTTCATCATCTGCCCTTGTTCTTGACAGGCTGTGTCACGGTTGTAGTTAGGTGTTTGTGTATTTGTGGTGGTATTGTGTAACTGTTTACCTATTCTGCTCGCCAGACTGTAAGCTCTCTGAGGGCAAGGAAGGACCATGTGGCTGTTTTGCCCTGCATGGTATCCTAAGCACAGCATAAAGCCTGGTACACGTAGGTGCTTAATACTCTTGTTGAATGAAGGAAAGAATGAATGGAGCGTCCAGATAAGGTGTTTTGGCAGGTCTTTGCATTCTTGTTCCTCCCATTAAAAAAAACTCTTCTGGCTCTTTCAGACGACAAAGGATGTACAAGGAGCAGCTGAACCTTACTTCCTTCGACCCCCCACTGCAGCTGCGACTCGAGGCCAGCTGGGTCCAGTTCCACCTGGGGATCAATCGCCACGGGCTATACTCCCGGTCCAGTCCTGTCGTCAGCAAACTCCTCCACGACATGAGTCGCTTTCCCACCATCAGTGCTGGTGAGGTTCACAGGACCAGGGAGGATGGATTGACTTTCTCCCAGGGAGGCTAGGCAAACCATTGCTGGCTGGGCTGCAGGGTGAAATATTAAAGGGTTAACTCTGACTCCTGATAGAATAAGAAGAGAAATACAGACATTGACCTTTTTCCCTTTGATAGAGATCTTACAACGATAATCTTATCACAACCCCACAAGGCAGGCACAAGGAGGGGCTCTGTCCACTGAAAGAAAGGTGATCACTACTATTTATCTAGTACTTCTTTTGAACCTGGCAACTCTCTTATACAAGGATGTTATGACATGGACATTATCATTGCCATTTTATAGATGGGAAAACTGAGACTCAGAGAGGTTAAGCAACTTGGCCAAGGACCCAGAGGTGGAGCGAGGACTTAACCTCAGGCCCGCTGTCTCCAGGTCTGTGCTGTCAAGCACTATAACAGTCTAAGTGACACAGCAAGTTATTAGCAGAGACAAACCTAGCATTGGTTTCCCAATCTGGTGCTGCTGGAGTGTCCATTGAAGGGCTAGAGAGCATGGGGCCTCGATGGAGAGCAGGGGGAAGACTGCAGCCAGCGGAGGCTCTGGGAGATGTCCTACTGAATGGTCAAGGCCCCCATGTTGTTGGCTCTCCCAGGAGCATGGCCGAACATTCTCACTGTCCTTCTCCTTTGCAGATTACAGCCAGGACGAGAAAGCCTTGCTTGGGGCGTGTGACTGCACGCAGAGTAAGTAAGGCCTCACCTCCATCCAGCCCTCCATCATCACAGATGTGTGAACCCCAGGACGTGGCAGCAACATGAAGGGCCCACTGTCCACTCCCTGAGGGCCCTGGTCGGGAGTTGAAGGAACAACTCTCTGTCTAATCTCTGAGAACTCAACATTTCTCCCCACCCGCCCACACACAAGAAAAGGCATTTATGAGGCGTTCTTGTGTAGGACCCTGCTGGGCAGTGTATGGTCCGGGGACCAGCATCATTGACGTCATCAAGGAGCTTGTTAGAAATACAGAATCTCAGTCCCCATTCTGATTTTCTGAATCAGAATCTGGATTTTAGCAAAACCCTCAAGAGACTGGAGTACATTCTCGAATTTAAGAATCAATTGTATAGGACAGTGGTTCTCAACCCAGCAACAAATTAGAGTCAGCTGAAGAGCTTTAAAAAGTGCTGCGATCTGGCCTCCACCCCAGGGGGTTCTGATTCAGTTGTGTAGAGTGAGGCCCAGGCATCAACATTTTTAAAACGTTCCAGGTGATTCCAAGGTTGAGACCCACTAGGGTAAATGATTAACGGAATCAAAAAGATAGGCATGAGATGCAGCACAGTCCCCTCCCAGGGTGCTATGAATTGGGTACAGTTGTGCCTGGACACTGCACTGGACCCAGCCCTCAGAGTGGCCAAGTCAGGCCTGGACACTGAAGCTCCCAGGCCAGTCACCACTGACCCTGAGTAATGTCATCCATTTATGTCAATATACTGAACACACATCATAAATTTCTGTGTGTGTCATTACGTGTTAAAGGTTTGAAAGACAACGTTTGTAGGGCCCAGGGCTTCCCTTTTATTTAGTTTCACACCTGCCATGTGCCATTTTATAGAACACAAAGGTGAATGAGACAGTGTCCCGACCCTCACGGAGCTTACAGCAGGGCCAGGACAGGGTGAAGCAAGTGAGGTGCCAAGGACACAACATGTGGGGGGTCGCACTCACTGTAAGGGTCATGTGAATGCACCTCAGGTGCCTTGTCCACCAAGCCTTGTCCCAAGCCCAGGTATACAGTCTGAACTAGGAAGAGATAGAAACAAACTAGTCTAATGCAAGATAACAGATGGCATAATCAGAATCTATCAGGGTGCCATCGAAACCCAGCCCTTCTTAGGGAAACATTCTTTGGGGTTTTCAGTGAATGTCAGTCTGGGGAAACCTGAATTGTTTGCCTTTTTCCCATAATGGCAGAAAAAGTATTGTCTTGAGCCCCTGGACACACTCTCCATGGCCTGACACGATGGCATTTACCCTGCAGGCTTTGAAAGCAAATCCTAGTCTTTAGGGTCTTATTAAGTAAGAGCAAAGAGAAGAATCGACTGGTATATGAATGAACAAAAGGTCACAGCCCTGAGCTCAGGCCCAGAAGCATCATTAACTCCCCCTCCTCCCCCCACAGTTGTGAAACCCAGTGGGGTCCACCTCAAGCTTGTTCTGCGGTTCTCGGACTTCGGGAAGGCCATGTTCAAACCCATGAGGTAAGTGGCTGGCTTCCGCGCCTCCGTGCCCAGCTGTGGCAGCCCTGAGGGAGTTTTGACCAAAATTAATAAAAGTGGTCTGAAATCTTCAAGCCAGTCATTTGGAAAGTCTGTGGGCAATCTGCCCCAGTATATAACTGGTTTTGATGATAATAATTAAAAACAGGAAAAGCTAGTCTCTATTTGGTCTTTGCTAGTATCTCTGCTACACAGTTTACAGGATTGTGTCTTTGGATCATCAGCAATCTTATGAGACAGGTACTGTAACAATATCCACTTTGCAGCTGAAGACACCAAGGCTCAGAGAGGCCACTTCACCCCAGTCTCCAAGCAGCGGGGCCAGGATTCAAACCCAGGCAGTTAGGTTGCTGAATTCACGCTCTATAATTGATACCCACTTTTTTCCAGGGCTAGGACCCTCAAAAATTTTACAGATCTCTACATAATAATACTTGTTTTGATTGAAAAACTAGCCAATGAAGAAAGGCTATTATGAACTCAATGACACTTTGTAATTAATTTCTGTTTTCGTAATAACAGCAAATACATGCTGTTTAAAATTTTGTAGTACATATAAGTAGACAAAATAATTTGTATTCAGTCTACAGACAGAGCTTGGTGTGCATATGGATTCCTGGCTTCTAAAGGGTCTGCACCTCACAGGTTGGGGACTCTGAATATTCCTCTTAGAGATGACATGTACAAGAGACAATGGCCCGAGGGATTCCCATTACCCAAGTCATGCTTTCTGCCAGAATGCACTGTCTTCCAATGGAATCCAATTAGATTGACTTAGAGTCTAAACTTTCAGTCAATTGAGAGGCCTATTGAAGGCCCAGTAATGGGTCTGGTGGTGGGGCCCCATCTTAATTCTAGTCCTCCTGCACTGCTTTAGCAAAAGCACCCCTTTAAGGAGAGCTTGGGAATAGAGAAGCTGCACATTGCAGCCACTTGGGGAGCCTTAAAACATCCTGTTGCCTGAGTCCCACCCTCAGAGAGCCCAAGAGAATTGGTCTGGGGGTTCCCCCTGTGATCCCAAGGCCCAGACAACCTTGGGAACCGCTGCTATATAAGAGCCCCCTTTTACCCATGTGAAAATCCAAAAACCCAGTTAAATTGGTCAATGTAAATGTATAACTTTTCAGAGATGTACGTGAAACAAGTGAACATCTGCCTATATTTAATTTATTGATGAAAAAAATCCCATCATATAAAACAATACATAGATTTGAGAATATTGCTTTTCTCCCCCCAGTCTCACATTTCACCTGTTCAAACTTTTTGTTATTTGTCATCATTGTCACTAGAGTCAAGTTTGGAGTCAATGTTAAATCAATGTTAAATTCCTCCCCCAACACCCCCTCCCCCAGTCTGTTTTAACAGTTCTGTCAGATAATAAAACCAACACAGCGTGAAGGTACCTCAGGTTAATGAATCAGTCCTAAACAAAACAAAGAAATTTCGAGGAGACTCTGTCATTTGAGAGACCATGCAAGGATTTGAATATAGAGCATCTCCCTTTTCTGAGGGACAGTTTTGGGACGGGGTCTTATCTTATATCCAGGCATTTAAAGTACTAAAAGAAAATTGTATTCCTTTTAAAAGAGAGAGAGCAGTGACCACACATGGCAATTAACCAAGGTTCCAGAAGCAGGCACGTGATTCTTTGGCGCACCAGTCAGCTGAACACATGAGCCACCGTCGAGTTCAGGCCACTATAGAGTTTTAAATTATTGTTATGTTTAGTCATGCACATTTAATGACTACTCATAAATGAGCACCGGTGAAAGAGAGGAAGCAGAAGGAACACTGATGTAGAAACTCGAGATGTTAAAGGGAAGCAGAAAAATAGTGATAAATTTGCGAATTCAGCACACATCCCCAGAGCCAAGAATTACGTTCTCTGAGCAAAATTCTTATATGGCACATTAGGATGTCTGCAGTTTTTTAAAACTGGAAGCTCATATAGATTAGGCGAGCTCCACTTTCACTTTCCATGCATGGGTAGGGAAAACTACCCAGGCTTGCAATGTTTTCTCTGCAGGAAAGCACGAGACGCGCCAGCCTCAGACCGCTTCTCTGCCTTGTCAATTACAAAACACAGAGATTGTTTAAATGAACCAGTTTCCTTCCTAAATATCATTAGGTCACAAAAGCCATTTTATCTATTATGCCATAACACAAAGTTGAATCTGCATTTTTATAAAATTTAGTCCTAACCCAAACATAGTTATCATTTTAAAATGTATTTCTTGCAAAAGCATGCATTTTTCCTATAAGTAGTTTAAAGTAAACAGCATTTTCTCATTAAGAAGGGAAAGTACAAATTCATCTTGGATAATATAAATTATGACCATAACTAAAAATTATATTTTTAATGTAATGTATACAATGAAAAATACACAAAAAGCACTGATGTAAAGTAAGAATGATTTTCACGTTTAAAATCACTTCTGAATGTGCCATACAAATACGAGGAAGCGATGTTTTAGAAATCCTAAAGGGTGTCGGAATTCAGGAACTAAAGTAAGATTGAGACACATGGACAGTCCTCACTGGCCTAGACGTTTGGTGATGCCAACGAGCAGACGTGGGTCAAGCCTGGGCAGGAGAGCTATATGCTAAAGGTGGCTGCCCTTTTTACAGTGGAATCCCTACTTTTGGCAGCGCCCCCCACTGTGGTTTCCAGGACTCATTTGTGTTTTTTGGCGAAGTGCACATCACTGATTCTATTGCTGGTTCTGTTTGTTTATAGCTTTTTGCAACATTACATTTATTTACATTTAAATCGCTTTTGCAGCCATCGTACAGCCCCACACGGTGGATTATAAGATTATGCGAAGATCATCATTCTTCCATGTTTATTAGCATCGAGGCGAGTCAACCTGGGGGCCAGAAGCCATGATGCCCTTAATGGGTGGGAAGTACCTTCCAGAACACACACACCCAACCCGCCCAGCATACTCAGGCAGGCTGATGCTTTTCAGGAACCCATTCGAGATTTAAAAATGTATATAAATCAACATCGTCTACACCAGCCTGCCTGTACCCTCTGGCTGGGCCCACTCTCATGACCCAGCTAGGGTTTCTCTGAGGCAACAGTTCTGTTTCTTCCTCTCTAGCACCCTAAGACCCAGAGCTTTTCTGTTCTTCAAACCTCAGTCATACTAAATTTCATCCCTAGGGCACTTTTCCTTTTATAAAGTCTTGTCTCGCGCCCCACCTCTCTTAATCCTTGGGCATCTGGGTCTGTACAATCTCTAGTCCTGCTAGCGAGTCCCCTCTCCTCTGTTTATATCTGCAGAAGGAGCTCTATATTTCTTCCCTCTTAATTACTGGGTTTTTGAAAGAATCAGCGGCTGTCACCAAAGCTGCTTAAGTAGGAGACTTGGAATTGGGGGTGCCTACAGGACAATGTCTTGCAAGAAGCCTGGCACCTCCTCCTGTGCAAGTCTTTGCCTAGCCAATCGAGCCATGGGCCATTCCTGATGTGTTGACTGTCCCATCATCTGTGCATACATTAAAAGCATAAAAGCATGTTTTGCTCCCCTCTGGTCATGCTTATCAGCTCTCTTCTCAGGCTCCCAGCTGAGGTCTGAGTCCAGGGCGTGATTCCTTCCTTCCTTCCAGACAGCAGCGAGATGAAGAGACGCCCGAGGACTTCTTCTATTTCATTGACTTTCAGAGACACAATGCTGAGATTGCTGCTTTCCATCTGGACAGGTAGGGTTTGGCCCCATGGAGATGACGTTGACTGCAAGGGCCAATCCACATCAGGTGGGACCTCCCTGGCATTTCTTCTTTCCAGCTCCTTATCTTCTTCATGAACCTCAGTGATGCCTTCTAACCCAACACATCCCCTCCAACCCCATGGGTTGGAAAACACAAGGTCTTTTAATGTACTGAAAAGAACAACTTACAAAGAAAACTAACTCTGCCAGGCTGCTCAAGCTGCCAGCTTGGGCCTGACATTGTCCTTTGCTCTCTTTACCTGATCCAAGGAGTCTTAAGGTTGTAGCATTTAAAAGTGAAAGCACATTCCTAAACTTCCTAGCTCCTCCTAGTTGCCTATTATTACTACTCAAGGTGTGGTCTGTGGACTGGCAGCCTGAGCACCGCCCAGGAGCTGTTCAGAAATGCAGAATCTCAGCCTCACCCTGGCCCCACTGAGTTTGAGCCTGTATTTGAACAAGACTCCAGGTGACTCATCTGCACATTGAAGTATGAACTCTGACCTAGAACACAGCTTGGATGGTGGGAAGGTTTGCCGAGGAGGCTTGATGGAATAAGGATTCCTTTTCCACCCCTTTAGATGTAGGTTTGGGCACTGTAGGTGTGGGCACTGTAGGTGTCAGCTCAGCACTGCAGAGACCCCCTCAGCTGGGTATGGTCAGGAATGCCAGTCAATTTCTAGTGAGTGATCATCGAACTCCCTGACCATTCCTTAGGTCTGAACATGGCTCCCTCTCTTTCAGGATTCTGGATTTCCGACGGGTGCCACCAACAGTGGGAAGGCTAGTCAATGTCACCAAGGAAATCCTGGAGGTCACCAAGAATGAAATCCTGCAGAGCGTTTTCTTTGTCTCTCCAGGTAGAATACCGGCCAAAGCAATATTCTGGGTCTAAGAACACGGTAGGCCGATGTGGCCACTGTTACATTCAGCAGTGGGCTGACCTCCTGCCAGTAGCACCATCCATTAGAGGGATGGGTGTATGCTGCCCTCAGATACTCCCGCCCTGGTCCACCTGAGCATCACACAAGATGAACAGGGGATGGGTAAAGTTTGTACATGAGAAGCTAACTAGTCTGTGTGGGCACTGAACTATGATGCTGGCCTCAGTGAGATCAGATGTTATCCATTCAAAGAGCATTCTAATCATATGGATAGGATGCAATGAGGCTGGGTCCCCCACGCTGTCTCTGCTCCGAGACATTTGAAAATTGGCATCCAGGATACTCAGTTGAGTAGCATTCATGAGCCCCGACATCTGGAAAAGGCAGTGTTTTCTTCTTCTGCCTTTTCCCAAGCTGTGAGTTCAGGGTTTCCCTTCCCTTTGAGTGGACTTCCTGAGGGTGGGAAGACGGCATGCCTCCAAAGCCCTTCTCTTACTCCTCCTCTCTTCTCCTCCCTCCTCTAGCCAGCAACGTGTGCTTCTTTGCCAAGTGTCCATACATGTGCAAGACTGAATACGCTGTCTGTGGCAACCCACACATGCTAGAGGGTTCCCTCTCCGCGTACCTGCCATCTCTCAACCTGGCCCCCAGGCTGTCTGTGCCCAACCCGTGGATCCGCTCCTACTCACTGGCAGGAAAAGAGGAGTGAGTTGGCCCCCTGGCCACAATGCCATGCCCACAGTCTTGCAGTACCAAGGACTTGTGGCTAGCCTGGCTTTTGGACCCAAAAGCTGCCTCAGTCTTCTTTGTGTCATCTCCTATCGATCCTGGGATCAGCTGTGTCTCTTCTCTCCCTTTACTTCATTTATTCAGTTATAAAGAGCCTACTATGTACCCAATGCTAGGTGCTAGGGGATACAGAAATGAAAGACACAGGTTCTCCCCTCAAGAAGCTCCATGACCTAGTAGGACGGACAGACAGGTAGCCAGGTTATGAAAACACAGTGCAACACTTGCCGTAACAGAGAAACCCACGAGGAGCCTGCAGGGAGACCCGGTTCACCTAAGCCCTGTGACGCCAAGGACTTCATAGTTATATCCCCAGGGCCTTCCACACTCCCTAGCACATAGTAGGTATTCAGTTAGTGTTAGTTGACTGAATAGGCTCATGAATCCAGCCACCCAAATCGTGGTGGAAAGAGAAGTAATCCGGGAAGGATTTCTGGAGACGTGACAGATCTTGAGAGACCCGTGCAGGCTGAGTAAGAGCCCATCAGATGAAAAGGGACACGGGGGCATCCCAGGCAGAGGAGCACGTGTAAAAGAGAAATGACACAGAATGGCTCGTAGGGAGACCTCAAATGGCTCAGAACCGGAGGGCCAGGGTCCGAGGCTCGGTGCGAGGAGCTGCAGAGGAAGCAGGGGAGGGAAACGCAGCCAGCCTTTCCCCTGCGGCCATCATCTCCCTTCCCGCATAGTATCACCGCCCAGCAGAGTGGAGGCTCAGGACCTGCTCACCACATGGCATCTGCACCCTCCCATGTCTTTGCCCAGGATCCTCCTGAATGCCCCCAACGACCACCTGCGTGCCGAGCAGCTGCCACCAGCCCAGGGCAGGATCAGGGAGGCAGGGACTTGGGGGGAGGGGAAGGTGTGAGGAGGGCCCCCAACACCTTGCCATCTTGGCTTTTCCAGCCCCAGGACTTCTTCTCCCCCTCAGGTGGGAGGTCAATCCACTTTACTGTGACACAGTGAAACAGATCTACCCGTACAATAGCAGCAACCGGCTCCTCAACATCATCGACATGGCCATCTTCGACTTCTTGATAGGTAGGTCCCCATGCTCAGGGCATCTGGCACGAGTGGGCTCTACTGTTGGGCTGGGATTCTCTGTGAACTTGGGCAACAAGTTACAGCCTGGACTACGAGGACAGAATAACCCCGCACCTGCCACAGCCTTAGAAGTGATGGAGGTCCCAGAGGACAGAAGTTAACATGCTCCCCTCCTAGGAGGGGACATCACTCAGGCAGACAACCCTGCGGCAAGGCCCAGGCAGGCGTCGGATTTGAAGTTATTTGTTCCCTTGACCAAGTGAGAGGGAAACCAGGGAGGAAGGGAGGAGGGAGCACAGTAAGTGTGGAGCAGCAGGAGGGCCCAGAGAAGGGACTGGTCAGCCCTTCTTCAAGTCCCTCGGGGACCAGGGAAAGCTAGGGACAGAGCAGATAGTTACAAAGGCAGCCGTCATACACGCTTAGATCTGAAGTCAGACAGCACCCACCCCAGCGCACTCATGCCCCCCAAGAAGTTAACCTGTGTCCTTACTGTACCCGGGCCTCGGCTGAGGAGCTCTGGTCAGGAAAGTCCACCCTGATGCGGTGTATTGGAACCCCTGGCCAGGGGCTGGGAGTGGGGCTAGAGTGAGTCTTAGATTTGAAAACAGGCCATAGTAGTTTGTTTGCTTACTTACCTTCCTTCTCCCTCTGCAACTTCACTAATAACCCTGGGGAATTGACAGCCTGTGACCCTGGGTTCAGACTCATCTCTGAATAGGCCTTCGTGCCCCAGAGAGAACTCAAACGTCGGGAGTATCCATCCCCTGGCCTACGGGCCTTAGCGCCAATGTCTCTTCTCCTTGACAGGAAACATGGACCGTCACCATTATGAGATGTTCACCAAATTTGGGGATGATGGGTTCCTTATTCACCTTGACAATGCCAGAGGGTAAGTGACCCCACACTCTCCTCTCCCAGCCCTACTCCTTGTGCAGCTGCTCAGGGGAAACCAGAGGCCCCTAGAGTGAGGGGCCTCCACGTTCTATCTCCTAACCCTACTTGTTCCATTTCCTTTTTCTCTTGCTCTTTGCTAAGTACCACTTGATTCTCCTCTACCCTAAGAGAACTAGTCAAACAGACTGAAGTTTTCCACTTTTACTAGATGGTTCACTCCTGGAAACACAGCACATAGCTCACCCTCAGTGGTTGGTAAATGAATGAATGAATGATTGCTTGGTTTTAACATCTTTGGACAGACCCTTTTGTAAGCTGGTTGAGGAGTAGGGCTGGACAGGCAGCTGCCATGCTCCCTGGCACTTACTCCAAGCTGTGATTCAATGAAAGGCTGAGGTAGAGAAGAGAGAGAAAAAACGGTGAGGAGGAAGAGGCTCCTTGCCACCCTTGAAAGCCTGTTTCTCTCCTAGGTTTGGACGACACTCCCATGACGAAATGTCCATCCTCGCACCGCTCTCCCAGTGCTGCAGGTAAGCTTTCAGTTCCAGCACAGGTCACAATTGTGACACTTCATCCTGCTCACAGCCAAGCTCTGAAGGTTTTATTCAGTTTTCACTGGCCTTGGACGTAGCAGGGTGGAATGACAGGAATTAGATCATTTCTTATACTACAAGGACAGAATTTTCCCCAGCAACATCTCAGACTCTTTCATCCTTCAGCACAGGATGACTTAGGATTTATTCTCTAACCCGCTCAGATAATCACCTATTTTTGCAAAGCCTGACAGTCTTTGATATGCCTAAGCAAACCTCTGCTTCACCCAGCACCCTTATAAGCTCATAAATACTACTGCATCATCACCATCGAAGCAAAATCCTGATAAAAGTCCCATAAACCTGCATCAGATTGAAAGGAAGTACTTAGATTTGGGCCTGGCCGCCACTTCTCTAGAGAATCTCTAACCTGCTTCCACCCGGTGTTCCAGCCAGGCTTGGAAAACTGGCCAGCTGCTCAGCTGCAGGACGTGATTCACATCTAGCAAAACCACCTCATTCGTTTCCCACTGGAAAACTCAGAGCAGAGCCTCCATTTCCTTTATCTACATCTTAGGTTAACTTAAACACGCTTCCCTCTTTGCCTCCCTTCCTCTCATCCTGAGTAGAACAGGCAGTAGTTATGACAAAAGTCAGACAATTAAGCTGCTCACAGATCTAAGTCCAAGTCAGATTCCCACAGAAAAATCAAAATCCTCAAGTGAAGACTGTCCCACCCATTTCCATCCCTCTAACTTGAGAATGTGACACAGAGAAATGTTACAAAGTTGGCAAGAAACAACTTGGAAGCTGACAGTTTCTACAACTTTTGAGATGGCAAACATGGTCCTCATTTCACTTACCAGAAACTTCCCTCATTAGCTTTAAAAGTCATTATCACTTCTGTTTTGATTCCCTGAGCAATGTCAGATGCAGCCGGGTCCAGCATCACTACTGTGTGACACGACAATGATTAGAGTACAAATGGCTCGGTAGGTCCTTGACCAAAAGGCAACTGGGCAAAGGACTGCAAAATAGTGGATGTCATCTTTTGTTCATGCCCTTTTTACCCGGTTTTCATTAAAACGTGCTTAAGAAGGCACTGGAGGTGGTCTCAGAACATCAGCTAGAATAGCTGTCCGGGTAAAGCAGCAAGTTCAGGCAAGTTATTTTCTTTACATTTACTTATTTGGTTCCTATGACTTTGTCCTTCCAGGATAAAAAAGAAAACACTTTCGCACCTGCAGCTGCTGACACAAGCCAACTACAGACTCAGTGATGTGATGCGGGAGTCACTGCTAGAAGATCAGCTCACCCCCGTCCTCACAGAGCCCCACCTCCTTGCCCTGGATCGGAGACTCCAAATCATCCTGAAGACAGTGGAGGAGTGCATAGAGGTCCATGGAGAGCACAGTGTCATAGCCAGCGGCCCAGCAGAACAGTCGGCCCCAGACTCTGGCCAGGCCAACTTGACAAGCTAGGGGCTGGACAAGTCAAATTTCAGAAACTACACCTGGAGCCGGCAGGGGACTCTGGAGTGTGGACCTCACGCTCACATCCTCCATCAATGCTAGAGGTTCTGGGTCATGAGCTCAGAAAGCAGATAGGGACACTGGGATGATTCTAAAAGAGCAAAAGAAGTGGGATCCACCGAACTTTCTTCCTTGGTGCACTGCTTGGACTGCCTTGGCTCCCTCTTTCCAAGAAAGGACTGTTTCATCAACAACACAGAACACCTCCTGAGCCCACTGGGAAATCTGGATGTGGGTCAGGTTCGGAAGGTCTGAAAGCCCTGCTCCTAGGAGAGTATTAACTCTAACAAATAAAATAAAAGGACATCAAGTGGATACCCAACTGACCTCCGCATCCTTATTATATCTACAAGGATAATTCCCAGTCCAGCTAAACAGCTGGCACATTGCTAGCAGACAAAACATCTACCGATGGTAACTGTCCAACCGGGTCAAAGTAGACCTCACACTTTCTACTTACATTCCAGTCACTGTAGCCCAATCTGAATACAATAATCCCTACCAACTGGTCCTAAAGTACTTTCTCAGAAATAGTATTACAAGACGTAAAAATAATATAAGGATTCGCTCAAAATATCAGAAAAGGGATGTTTTCATCGGAGAGTATTTAATATCAATTGAAATAACATCAAGTATGTCAAGAGTAGCATCCAGTAACAACAGAAGGGGTTTCAATGAAGGGAAAACAAGGGTGGTCTTGAAGGTGGGATAGCGTGTAAACAGGCCCAGCAGGTGCATGAGCCTAGATTAAGGCAGGAGAAAGCCAGGGCTTACCATAGCCCACTGCTCACAAGCCTCTTTCCCGTAAGACCCCAGAAATTGCCCCACGTTCCCCCAACAAAAGCAGGAGGCCATCTAGAAAGGTCTGACACTCTGGACAACGCCCCCCCTCCCCCTCCCGCCGCCAGCTGCTTGCTCAAGAAGGACTAAAGTTTACTTTCTCAGCCTCCCTTAAAAGTGGACATATCAGGGATTCCATCTCCTCAACCGTCTCCCAACTGACTTCCTGACATTAAACTCCTTTAATAGGAGACTTTGTTTCTTATCCCATAATTCATGACTGAAAACACAAATGACAGAAATGTACTCATACTATGCAGTGATTGAGTCAGTCAACAATTAAAAATTCCTCATTTCATCAGATCAACTTTCCTGATAAAGGCCAGAGGCCAGAGGGCGGTAGAAAAAAGCTGTCACTAAAGAAGGTACAAGGTCAAGAACTAGAGATGTCATCCAAGAGTTTCGCACTGTGTCCAAAGACAGCCTCAATAGGTTCAACAAGGGGTGCCACCCTGGCACCCCACATTATTGGGACAGTGCCCCTGAACCTTATGTCTCCATGACAGTGACATCACTATCATTCACTGAGCTCTTACCATGTGCAAGATTATACACACAGGTTGCCAATCCTCCTGAACACAGATAAACTCCCCCACATCCGATGTAAGGCTCAGAAAACCTAACTACAATTACACAACTGAAGGATTCAAACCTACTGCAAAGTGTTCTTTCCACGGTAACACAAAAACTCAATAGTATCTCAACCAATTTATTTTTCTTATATTTGTTTGCTTAAAAGAAATCAACTCCTTTAAAGAGAAAACTTAATCAGAGACTTCTGTTACAAAGGTGACTCTACCACAGCTCAGGGCTTCCCAAGTCATGAACTGATTCTCCTCTTTCAGACCAGGATTTCCCTTTGGAGGACGGACTCGGTAATTACACACAGAGGAATGGGAGAAAAATATTCAGGCAAAGGCATTCAAAGAATAGCACAAATCAGTCTGGGACTTGCGAATTGCAGAGCCTCAGGAAGGTGAGTTACAGCTCCATCTCAAACCCAGCTATTTCCAGGACAACAGACTGGTTTTCAAATGGCCTAGTAATAAAAATGTTGCTGTATTTTACAAACAGAGAGTAACAGAACTGAGTCTGACCACAATATGTGGAGTACCTAGATACCTAACTATTCATTTTAATATTCCATTAACTTTTCACTAATAACAAAATTAAGACTCTATCATTTGTTGAAAATACCAGAAAACAAGATTCCACTCTTAGAACTATCAAGTTCTTCCAACGTTTTCATTTTGGGCCACTGTTAAACTTCCCATCACGTAAAAATTCTCCTGTCTCCATGTAAGAACTTTTCACGTTACTACAGACAGCAAACTAAACACTGAAAGGGAACTGTATGGTACTCGAGTTTGTGAATGGGGTTTAGAGGAAATCCTTTTAGCCTTCTCAAAGGTGAGGACGACAAGTCGAGTTGAAGACTAAAAAATACAGTTGATTCTCTTATTTGTGATAGTTTTATAAAGTCACCACGGACACTGAATTAGCGGATACTGAAGCGTTTGTTCCTAGAGGAAATACAGAGTTAAGTTCCTGTGAGCCTCTGGTTACATTTTTGTTAACCAACTAATACATAATCTTGCTTCATGCATGAAGGTGTGTTAAAGACACCTTATTTAATATGTATTGTTAATTCAATAACATTGAACTCCTGGGCAAACAGTACTGTAACTCACACCTGAAAGAAGCTGATCAGATACACTTATTTTCCCCATAAGGCAGACCACAGCCTTCTTGCCCGTAGGAACCCTAGCGAATACTTCAGCACTACATTTGAGGGCCATTTTAACAGTGAAATCACCAACAAACAGCACAAAAATGCAAAAAGTGGCACTAAAGAGACCATGAAGAGGACATCTGATTACAGTATGAGAGCCAAAAGAAGGCAAAGCATTCGAACTCAGCTGGGCACAGAGAATTTGAAGACTCAAATTCTTCACCACTCCACTCGTCACAGAACAACTGTGAGAGGGCTGCAAATGTTGATTTTGGGGTTACAAATTTGCAAACACAGCACCCGTGATTAATGAGGATCACTGCAACTCATTTTGAAATTAACAAAGATGGTAAAAAAGCTCTCCATCTAGTGGTGACTTTTAAAATCACAAAGCCACTGAAGTCACAGCTCTGAACTTAGGTCAATAAACAAATTTTAACTTTGTATGTACACAACAACACTGATTTCTATTTAAAGCTCCAGAGGGTAAGAAGGGAGAGATTTAGGATTCCCCCTTTTAACTCTCCTATCAATAGCCTTTACTGAGAGCTATTTTGAGAGAGACTTTGGGGGACATATTAAAGGGTGATGTAGTCATTGCTTCTCAATAATTGTTTTAGCTCATCTAGAAATACACTGCCAGGGCCTTAAAAAAATACTAAGAAGGTTCAGCTATTAATCTGTGGTTGGAGATAAAGCAATATTAAGAAAACCGAGAGAGGGCAGGCCCCATGGCACAGTGGTTAAGTTCAGCATGCTCCACTTAAGCAGCCCAGATTTGCAGGTTCAGATCCTACACTGCTTGTCAGCCATGCTGTGGCTGCGACCCACAAATAAAGTGGAGGAAGACTTGTACATGCTACCTCAGGGCTAATCCTCCTCAAAAAAAAAAAAAAAAGAAAAAGCAACAGGAGATTCAATAGAGCATGGCTGAAATCAATGACTGGAGGAAATAAAACCATTTTTTAAAAAAAGGAAAGAAATAAAACTGACATCATGCTACTTCAAGTTTAAAATGTCAATATTTAAGTCATGAAGAAACAAAAAACGATTCTATATGAGGAAATGTTTTAGAGGGAGAATTAAACTATAAGCAGTACAGTCAAGAGTAACTAAAGAAACAAAATTTTCTTCAGTTATATTCTGTTGTGACTCTAAAGGTTCCAACTCTGATGGGTTGAGGGAAGACTACTGAATGTGTGGACAAGGTGCATGTGTTATCAAGCAGCACAAATTAAAGAATGCTCTAGAATACAACATATCTTCAACTTCATTGGATGTAAAGAAATTAATACCAATACACTAATGAGTACAACTTAATTATTTCACTGCTCAGAAATGAGGAACATCAGAAATAAGACTTTATATACACAAAATATACAAGCATACCTAAATATCCAAATGCATCTGTTAAACTTAAACCAAAGAATATGGTGACAAAGAAATGATGTTCCCCCGTTAAGCCTGGGAAAGTTCCAAGGCCAGTGAACCAGTTTGTCTTCAATAAAAAGGAAATCTTTGCCTTTTGATTTAATCTTTTCCTCCCATTACTCAGTAAACAGATCTGCCACATCTCAATTACCCTTTAAGCAAGGTTTTCAGATTCATTCTTCAACAAACCAGCATGGAAAACACTGAAAACAAACATTTTACTCTTGCAAAATACTGATCCTATAATTCACTTTCTATTTTCATTCTTGCCCACCAGATTATGAGATTCTGGGGGAGAGGAAAAAGGAGAGAAAGAAAGGAGAAAGGGAAAAAAAACTGATTCATTTAAGAATTTAAATTAATTTTTTTTATTACTTGACCTACCGTTAAGACAATCTATAACAAAAAGAATAGAGTATATTAGCACACAGAGTATAATCAGACTAGTAACCAGGAAACAACACAAAATGGTCCTTTGGCCATCTATACTTTCTAGAGCAACAGATCTCAAAAATTCACTTACCAAGCCCAGAAATAATGACTTCTAAAGCTATGGATATCAACTCAGACAAATTACGCCAATCGTGATTTCTCACATATACTCAGATTGCACAAAGATAAAGCTTTAAATGTGGTAATTTTTAAATTTAGACTTAAAATTTCTTAGATTAAAAACTACAAAAGGGAGTAAACAGCAAGCCAAATGATTTAAGAGGAAAACTCATTTAGAAAGCATTATATGTATCTAAATATACAAGAACATGATTATATACATATATGAAACTGTGCAAATTTATGGCATTCTAAATAATTCATTTAGGTACAGTTTGGCATTTAAACAAAGATCAAATCAAGCTTTAAGCTAACGAGAACATAATTTTTAACTTTTTAAATATAAAAAGGTAGCTAAACACAAAATACAGATCAGAAAACCCTCATCTAATGTAGATTTTGAAAAATAAAAAATTTGTAATAAGGTGGCTTTCTATCCCACACTATAATGTAAATAAAACCTCTTTCCCAGATTTATACTTCAAAGTTAGTAACAACCTAAAAACTGTTCATATCTATGAAAAGAAAACCTACCATGACCAATTTAAATTGCCTGGGAAAGAGTAGGAGACGGGATTAATAATGAGTGCCAATTGCACACAGATGGAAAAATGCTTGCAGTCACTCCCAAGTATAACTCTACCTTATATATAAACCACAATGAAAAGAAAAGTGCCCAGATTATGGAACTGTGAAATTTTGCTTAAAAAAATAATAAAAATAAATGGTTGGGTATCATTGGTGCACATGGAATAATGTAACACATAAGGTTGATAAGGCTGGAAAATACTGAAATACAGTTAAGACTCAAAACACAAGTTTACTTTAAAAAAACAAAAAAGTTTGCCAGAGAAATAAATGCTTGATAGGAAAGCGGAACTTTCAGCAGGATGGCCTTTTAGACCAATTTGAAACAACACAGACACATCCTACCCTACCTCCTGCAGCACACCGTAAGTTCTAGCTGATGTACAAAGGAGGGAAAAAAGTTAAACCGAAGTAAAAAAAAAAAAACCCCTCAAATCTCATGCCCCAATGAATTTAGTGGGGCAAAGTTCCCAACACTGAACTTTGTCCACCGGGCATTTCTCCCTTTAGCAACATCACCTCCATCTTTCTGTTAGGACATTTGTTCCATCTATTCTATCTATCCCCAGCACATCCAATCTCCTTGATCAGTATTTAATGAGCACAGATTATCCTGCAGTCAACTGAAAGATGCACATTAACCAAAAGCTCCAAGTTAACAATCAAGAGTGTACACCTCAAATTCTCGTTCTCAATTCAGCATCTATAGTCAATATTTGGCACTAGCTGGATAAATAAAGGTCTACTCAGAATTTGTGAGCTGAGGCAGATGCAGTTAAATCATAATCCAATATTTGCAGCCTATGATTTTGGTTTCAAAAGGCAGGTGTAGATAGCCACACCTAAACATTATTTTAGAATTGGAGAGGGAACATTAACAACATGATATAAACAAAACCAGGCAAATTTGCTCAACAATTCTAGTTGAAAAGAAAAAACTGAACAGATCATATCCACCTGATAATTAGCAAAAATGGGCATTTTTCCACCTTTCAACTAGTTTAAACACAGGCAGATGTCTTTCTACTATACTAAGATTTTTCTACATCCATTTTTTTCTAATCCTTAGAGCTTAATGAGAAACCATTTATTCTATAAAGAAATACAGCACATATGGCCACAGTCTGAAATATGCTTATGATAACTGGGAAATTATGTCACTTAAGAAAAATCTTGCACTGTTACATCATTACTCTATGGTAATTCGTTTGGTGCAGGGATCTGCCCTCACCAAAAAGCATGGCACGCATGGCCCTGGCTGAACACTAACACTGCACAAAGAGAAGCAGTAACAGCAAAGTCTCCAGAGAACTCTTTCTATTTATTTAACTGTGTATGAGCATTTAGTTAATGCTCCAAATTAAAAACGGTGCAATAAAAGCAACTTTTAATATAAACAGACAAGAAGCTGCGATGCCAGTGGCCACGTGGCGCTGCAAATAGAGAAAATAAAGCAGTCTGCATGAGTGAAGCATGGACTGGGGAGAGGAGAAAGGGGAGGCACAGGAGGCAGACTTTAGACAGACAGTGACACGAAACTGTTGTACTGCTGGATGTTTCGTTTGAGGATATCTGAGCATGGGCCAAGAACACGTTCAAATCTAGGTCGGTCCAGCTTAACACACTTCAAAGGGCCACGAGCGACCACCGTGGCAGCACGAGGACGATTCATCAGTAGTGCAATTTCACCTGGAGAAGGGAAAGGAGAAGGGTAAGAGTTGGCTAACTCTGTGGGAAACGCTGTCTTGGAGGCGCCCTCCTGAGAAAAAAAGAGAACATAAGTCTTGATTCCTCTTAACAACTTAGTACAGGCCAATCACATCTACACTTCGGAAGAAACAACAACTCAGATATGAGACAATCAATAACTTAATTATTAACCGAGTAGAGGTCAAAATCTCACACTATTTCTCTGAGAGCCAAAAATGATGGCAATTAAAAAACAAAATTCAGAAGAAAAGACAAAATTATGGAAGACGACAATATCTCACAGAGATGTGACTTAAAGCAACTATGTATTTACTGTGAGGAAATCCACATACCAAAGTAATCAGAAGGCCCCAATCTTCCCACTTCAACAAACTCTTCATTTTCTGACCGACGCTGCAGCACAGCAGCAGAACCCTATGATAAAATCAGCAAAAAACTAATAAATAAATACTTTCAAATCCAGGGATGGCATTTTAAATATCCTATGCAATTTTAGCTACTTTGCAAAAAAAAAAAGTATTCGGCAGTTATTTCAAATCCTCTGTGTCCATATGACAAAAGGTGACTGAAACGAGTCACTACATGAGCTTCGATTCCTATTTACCCAGCAGCCCATTATGGGTTCTTCTCATCAAGCCAAGGTACTTAAAGAGTTCAGACTCGTCAAACTTCAGCTGGAGAGCCAAATCCAAGCTCACTGCCTTGTTTTTGTAAATAAAATCCTATAGGAACAACACACTATTTACACACTGTCTATGGCTGCTTTTGTACTATGACCACAGAAGTGAGTCTTCAGCACAGAAACCCTACAGCTCATAAAGCCTAAATAACGTACCATCTGGCCCTTTACAGAAAGAGTCCCATGATCCCCAGTTTAAATAAAACCAATTAGCATCTACTGAGCCTCATTCACAAAAAATCTGCTATTTGAGTCTGCATAGCAGATAAAAGTATCTGCTATATATTTCCATAGACTGTGAAAATATAAAACATAGTAACTTTTAGAATTTAAATAATCACCTTTGGTCCTGTTTGCCAAACAGCCTAAAACACATGATTTTAACAAGGATGGTGCAGAACCATAATAGTTTGTTATGCTAAATGGTTGAGTTTTGTCTGGCTTGCATGATAAGGATTAATTTTAATTAATTTGAGTAGGTCAAAATTTGGCTTTTATTTCATGAATAGCCCTTCCAGAATTCAGACTCAAACTCATTTAAAATGTGGTGGCCTGGCAAAAAACCAAACAACAGTATTTCAAAGTGAAACACAATTTTTAAATAAAACTGTCACATATTTTTAAAAACTAAAGCTATACATCAGAATTACCCCCTTTTTCTCTCTTACAATGTACAACTTTTTAAAGTATCAAATGCAGAGTTCTTTACCTCTAAAATAATGAAGAACTCATCCCCTGGTTCTCCCTGCACCACAATCTTCTGCCCATCTTCAAACTGGACCGGTTCCAATGCATCGGCTACCGTGAGACGTTCCCACTTGTCCAGAGATTCTGGAAGGCAAGAATCAAAAGAATTTCTCTACATTATTTGGTGTTGCTAAAAATGCCAAAACAAAAAGTATAAAGACAGTCAACCAACTAGCCATGCCAATTCAATACTCTAGCAGTGTCTCAGATTAAACACGGCACCTTTCTTCAATTACCTCTAGTCTCAGCAAGATCCTCCTACTATCCACGATAACCCTTTGATCCTCACTTCAGTAGCCCAGTGGCCAGGTTAATTTATACCAACTGTACCCAACGGTAAACGAATAAAAAAATGCAATTGTTAAGTAGTCCTAAAGACTATCATCAATGCAAATCAAACCTACAATTACAGGGCCCAAAAGTAACAGTGTCACCATCCATATTATTCCAGAGGTTCGGAGAAATAACTGATCTATGAATGGAATTTATTTATGAAACCCACAAGAAGAATAGAAAATAACTTTTGTTCCCAAACGTCAAATGAGCACCCAAGACACTAAACAAAAGTAACCATTTTAGAGAAAGGACAAATAAAGGGGGAAAAGTCAATTCACTAAAACAAAACAATGGCAGAAGACTATTATCTTATAAAAATTGCCATTTCTGGGGCCGGCCCCATGGCCGAGTGGTTAAGTTCATGCGCTCCGCTGCAGGCGGCCCAGTGTTTCGTCAGTTCGAATCCTGGGTGCGTACATGGCACCGCTCATGGAGTCACACCGAGGTGGCATCCCACATGCCACAACTAGAAGAACCCACAACTAAGAATATACAACTATGTACCGGGGGACTTTGGGGAGAAAAAGAGAAAAAATAAAATCTTAAAAAAAAAAAATTGCCATTTCCCCTCCCAATGAAGAACAGGTTGTAACAATGTCTCTAACTCCACATAATAAAACATACAGAAATATCTCCAATTAATCTGCTTTGTTCTAAATTTCAAAAAACTTGTGGCATTTTTTCAGAGGAAGCAGCAAATGACACCTGATCTTTCTACAGAGGAAATGCACTCCCGGAAATACTCATTTTCATAAACCAATAAACTCACTGATGGAGCAAGAAAGACAGAAGTCACAGGGTGAATAACTGTGACTGTCCATAGTCAAAAGAAGGACACTTCTAGCCTTTCACTCTCTCCAGGAGGAATGAATAGCACATGATTCCAGAAAGCTTTTCCCCGGTCCAATCATTTCTAATTAAGACATCTGTCATATACTAGGCAAATTCAACACACTTGAAAATTATTTCTAACTTAGTCAAATTTCAACTCTATCAAATAAAAAGTCCATGTGTTTTCACTACTGTTAACAAAAAGACGATGAGGTGATAACTAGAGCAGTTTTTATGAAATACAATAGAGTTTCCTTAACTATCGCTAACACTTCAATTTAACAATTCTCCATGCAGTTTTCCAAAACTTACCTAAAATAGACACTTTACTAAGAAACTCCTCATACATCTTCCGCTTTCTCAGTGTGCTTCCCTAAAAATGAAAAAAGTAACAAAAGTCATCTCTCAAAAATGTGTACTTATCACATAATGTTGTGAAATAATAAATATTAAGTTTCAAGTAAATAAAAAAAAGAGAAGTCAAAGCTTGCTGCTGCTTCTTAATATGTGATTACTTTTCTTCATTTGAAGATGGTAAGGCCCTCTCTTCAGCTCAATAAAAAGCTCTTACCAACTCCTAAAAGGAATACAAGGTATATGGCCAAAGAAGGGTCCTAGCACCAATTAGTGAAATGTCAAATAAGCAAATGATCAGTTCTCAAAAAAAAAAAAAAAAAACCCAGTAATATATATGTGATTATAGCTGAATATGTATTTCCAGCTGAATATTTTTCCAGCCTGGGGTCCTGCCCCACCACCCCAATCCTCCACTAAAGAAATATAACTGCTACCACAAGACCCAAAAATAAAAACAAAAAAAAGTGCCAAAGCCCCAAACTTAACCAAGTTGTCATATCCACAAAGTTAATTAAATATATACGGGGGAAAGAGAGGGGGAAACACACAGTCCTCTATAGTAAACATGCCTTACAAAGTAAACTGCCTTGGCAATTTATATACTTATAAATATTTTTATACATACATGCATACACACACCCCCCCAAATACAGAAAATTTTCAAAGTACATCCAACTGCGTAGTATCAAATCACCAGACATGCACTGCAAAAATTTAAGAAAATCATTCAAGATGACTAATGCCATTAGCTGGAACGTAAACATCCAAAGCTACTCTATAAATCTGTCACAAAGTTCTCAAAAAGTCTGACTTTAAGAGCAGAATGTTCCAATGGTTTTATTATTTTGTTTATTCGTTTACTGGGAGGGGACATGACATGTGCATCACTGATAACTCACTTTCAGTTTAGGGAAGCTGCTTCTGAATGGCCTTAAATAACTTTATGCACTTAGAAGCAGTACCTATCAGACTATCTGTGATGTGCAACAATTAGGTAAGTGAAGATGTGCCTATGAGCAAATGGAGAGACTGCCAAATATGAGCTGACCATTACATACAGGCCACATTTGTTTCCCACCTTATTTCTGGCCAAATCTTTGTTCTAAAAGATCACTATCTCAAATGGTATAATAAAATGTGCTACACTGGACTTAATGGAAAGCATTCAATCACTAAAAGCAAGAAATATTATCATTTTAATTTGGTGCTGTTCTTCAAACATTAGCATTACAGACTGGAATTCCAAATCACACTCCAAAAACCATGGTGTCTTACCATAAGGATTCTTCTATAGCTGTCTCGGTCGATGCCCCACAATTTCACATTTGTCTTTGCCTTGACAGTGGCTGCCCTCGGTGTTCCATAAATCAAAGCAAGTTCTCCAAAGCTCCCTCCTTCCCCAACACTGGTTGCCCATTCATTATTGACATAGACCTAAAATGCAAGTGACATAAGAGAATTGGTTTTTTCTACATACACAAATACGTGTATTAAAAACCCTCAAACATTTTTAAAGGGTCAGAATCCTGAACTTTGTTTAAAAACATAGAATCTATTACGTTTTCAGTACACTGCAAAATAGCTGACTTCTGACAATGAGTTAATTAAGTTCAGAGTGTCTGTGATTTACCTGGTTTAATATCTGATAAGAAAAAGGTACTCTGTAAGGATGATCAGGGCAAAAAGGGTGAACTAAGCATTAACAACAACCATATACATTTACAGAGCACTGTGCTAAGCATTTTACCTGCATAAGACACTGAGTTTCCTAATAATCCTATGAGAACAATGCTATTATTATCCCCATTTCATTTGTAAACAAAACTTACAGCATCAAGAAAGCTGTACCAAGTCTCATAGCTAATGGTTGGGTCAAGACTCTCCCTCACATCTGTTTTACTCCACAGCATACATGCACACCTTAATCACTACTCCAGCAAAAGTTTTTAACAATATGTATGGCTAAAGAAATTACTTTTAAAAAGTTTCCGTCATTAAAATATCTGGCAAAAGGTGGTAATGGAATTTGACATACAAGGGCTCTGATAGCCCTTCAGAAACTCTTAGAAATAATAAATATCAGTACACTGACTTTTAAAATTATCAACATATTTCTGCTATTATTAAATCTTACATCCATCTCCCCTTGATCAATCACATAGAAGTTATCTCCTTCATCACCTAAAAGAGAGGAGAGTAAAAAAAGAAGCATATTAATAAAATTAACACAAATCAAAACTACCAAAAGAATGTAAAATAATAAACTTATTTTATAGAAGTGCTGTGAGGGAAGAATATGTTATAAATTAACATAATCTTTCAGAAAAAAAATCCAGCAATATATTTTGAAAGTCATCAGACTGATCAATTTTTTAGTCATCTCATAGTGAAGAATACCTCTGAAAAACAAAACAAAGCCACATGTGTACAAGGTACTAACTGCTACATCACCTATAACACCAGACAAGAAACAACTCAAATAGTAAGCAACAAAGTATCAGACTGTCACTAAATAGAGGAATATATGGATCATGAAGACCCATGAAAATATCAAGAGTGAAGAAGGCAAAAAGGGGGGTTACCCAAAAGATTAGATCCACGTTAGTCTTCGTAGACAACAAGGTAAGAATCAGCAGAAGGCACAGAACCTCATAAATAGATGGGCTATACAATGAAGAATCTAAGTGCTTTGCTTATTTCCTACTTTATAAATGGTTAATAATCAATGTAAAAGATATACGAAATACACATGGTTCTCATATTACATACAATATTGAAAATAAAAACGCAGGAATTTCCTTTAAGAGTTACTATAAACAAAACTGTATTGATGTTAGGGACGTATTAGTCCCTTAGAGAGAGAGTACCTTTCAGCTCCAAGGATTTTACTTTAAAAAAAAAAAAGGAAAATCCAACAGTATAACAGAAGGAAAATGTAGGCTGAAAGAGGAAAACAAACCTCAATAAAAAAAAATCTGGGGCTGACCCCATGGCCCAGCAGTTAAGTTTGCACATTCTGCTTCGGCCCCCCAGGGTTCACCAGTTCGGATCCCGGGTGCAGAACTATGCACCGCTTGTCAAGCCACACTGTGGTAGGTGTCCCATATATAAAGTAGAGGAAGATGGGCATGGATGTTAGCTCAGGGCCAAAGTTCCTCAGCAAAAAAGAGGCGAACTGGCAGCAGGTGTTAGCTCAGGGCTAAACTTCCTCAAAAACAAAAAAAATCCTACAGTTTCCTCTCCCATAATAATACTGCATGCCAGAGAAGCAGCAGCCCTTACCTTGCTGAATGACAGTCTCTCCAGCAATAAAGGAAACAGGAAACATAGCATCAAAAATATCACTGCAAGGGAGAAAAGGGCCCGTGTTACATTTCATGAGCCTCTTTTACAGATTTCAAACATTTACCTTAGAATTAAAGCTCCCAGATTTTCAGTGTGGATCGTCATCAGGTGAACGATTAGTCAGAGCCTTAAAACTTGCAACAACGATGAGACCAGATTGGGACCACGGCCATACTGGAAAAACAGTATAACACAGAACCGGTACCTACCTCCTCTCATTATCATCAAGATGTGAAAACAGTACATTCTTTTCAATGGCTTTGGCTAAAGCAGCCATTGTCTTATAATCTTTTGGTATAACCTGGAAAAGAACAGAAGATCAAATGACAATCCATAAACCAAAAACATTTCATGTTTGGAATCTGCAATTCAATTAAATGTCAAGTTACATTAATGTATTTAAACAAAACTGCTTTGAGTTAAATATTTTCAACACAACACACTTGTACTATCTTTGATCTACAAAGAACTCAACAAATATTGACTGACTAATCCCTTTGCCTACAACCAGGCCTGTATTTAAAGGCTGGTATTCGATTCCTAGTCAACAACTAAAGAAGTAAATCAAAAACACCTTGACCAAGGTCATTATTCTGAAGCAAAACTAAGCATTTTATGACAGTCATTTTTAATCTTTATTCTTTTTTATTTTTTTGGCAGAGAAGGATTTGCCCTGAAGTAACATCTGTTGCCAATTTTCCTTTTTTTTTCTCCTTTTGTCCCCAAAGCCCCTGAGTGCATGGTTGTATATCTTAGTTGTAAGTCCTTCCAGTTCTTCTGTGTGAGCCACCACCATAGCATGGCAACTGCCAGAAGGGTGGTGTGGCTCCATGACCAGGAAGTGAACCCAGGCCCTGAACTTTAACCACTAGACCATCAGGGCTGGCCCAACAAGCCCTTTGCCGGGACAATTCTCTTCCCCCTCAGGCTAAGAGCATAATTCAAAATGGCAAGCTGGTTCTAAGGAAGAGCCAATTAGGATGAATGAAGTTTATAGGATTAAAGGTTAAAAGCTACAACGTGAATTACAGGATGTCAAAAAATCGACACTATGATTCAAGAGAAAAAGGAGTACCGCCTGCTTCTTCTACTGCAAAACAACAACATGGAAAAGAAAACCCCCAAATGCAATTATGCACTGTTTTATACTCACTATTAAGTTACTTCCTCTGATGGCATGTTACTACAGAAACCTGCTCCCTGGTACCCAAGAACTGTACAGGACGGAGTCTGAGCCATCCTGTTTGTGTTATCATTCAAAACAGTGCATGCACTCATCCAAGGCGACGAGATGACTACCGCATGAGTCCCGAAAACATTTCCCCAGTGTTTAGATACCAACCTTTCTAACGTAGGATGCAGCATCTTCCTCCGTGTAGACTTCAGCACTGATAGCACCTCGTCGCCTCCGGCCCTTAACCACTGGGTTGGGTGGAGGAGGAGAGATTTCATCCTCCCTTGAGTCTGCACGGGTGCCTGCTTTCTGCAGATTCTGAATCTGTTTTGCCTCCTCCTGAAAAAATTATAGGTTTACAAAATGAGCTCCCTCAGCATCTAAAGTTGGTATTCTCATATTCCAATGACAGTCCATCTCAGTCACTTCACATCTCTTCCTCTATTACCAATGTAAAAGTTAAGAGGAAAAGGCCAATTCCAAACAGGAAAAAATGGGAGAAACAAATTTGCAAAGAAACACTCTGAAGGATGGTAACAGATAATAGATATTACACTTATTAATGAACAAAAACCATTAGTACAAGGACACATAACATGCAAGTAAAAAATCAGATACTCAATATAATAATATATGGAAAACAATTTACATTGCACACAACAGTAATAAACTGCAAAATAGAATCCTGGGGACTGAGATTTTTTTGTATGCTGTTACAGACAGCATGAGACTCTCTGCTCCCCAAAAGAAGGTGATTTAGGAATAACCACTCAGGCACAGCAGAGAGCTTCAAGAATGTCTGGACTACTGGGCTATTTCATTAATCGAGGAAATATTCTCTGGATCTGCCACGCCAAGCCTACCCTAAGCAAGGAGAATATGAAAACCAACAGGAGAGAGTCCCGAGCCTGTGCAATTCATACTCTAGCTGGAGTCTCAGACATAAATAATGAAACAATGTGACAGTCACCAAGAATTCAAATAAGTTCAGATCTGACAATACTTCTCCCAGCAGACCTAAAAGTATTCTTTATTACTATCAGGGTTGACACTTCAAGTTAAAACAAGAAAAACTTTATCTGCTTTTAAAAACTTATTAAACCAATTCTATAAAAACTGAATGAACATTTTAACATTCTTATTTTTCAGATCTAGGGCCTTAAAAAGAAATTCCTCTCAGGTCTGCAGTAAAAAACGAGTTGTTATGCCCAATGTAAAACAAGGAGGAAAAAAACAAGAACATGTTATCTACTACTTCCTCATTCATGTGATTCATTCTCCATTATTTTTCTAAACCATCTTTCAAATCTAAACAAATTTTTAGCATTTACTGATTATTTCAGAAAGTTTTTTGATAAAAAATTAAAGAGATGCCTACTTTTTCTCCTGCATGGTACTCAGCTTGGCTTTTGGCATCAAGACAAATAAAAGAACTATATATATGTAGCAAGAAAAGTCTAAAGCGATAACCATCAAGGTATTAGAAGTATTATTTCTATTAGTAGAACCATGCCTGATTTTTTTTTCTTTTTTGGAGGGAGGGGTTGGCTTTATTTTCCTCATTTCTCTGGATTTGCTCATTTTCAACTAAGAAAAAAACACAATAAAAAATATAACAAAAAAACCTTTAATATATTTGTATATTTAATTACAAATGAATTTACCTCAGCTGAATAATCTAGTAATTCTACTTCCAGGAATTTATTCTAAGATGTGCATATAGGTAAAATTACCTATATACAACGTTATTCATAACATATCATTGTTTTTAATAGTAAAACACTGGAAGCAATCAAAATGGTGATTAAATAAATTACAGCATAGCAATACAACGGAACGCCATGCACATACTGGAAAAGACCAGAAAGCTCTTTGCTATATGAATTTGCCTGTAAATTTCCATACATTATCTGTAGAATACAGCCTGCATTCAAGGAACAGGAGGAGTGGGAAGAAAACTTTTTATTGTTATACCTTTTTGTACCTGCAGAATTTTGAAGCATGTGCAAATTTGTAACCAATTTAAAATATATATATATTTTTTAGAAAATGCACTAATTTTCATTCTAGTAATTCCAATAATGAGTAAGGTTTTCCCACTCCATATTAACACAGAACTTTAAAACTGAAGACTCCTCAAAGTTCGAAGTTTAAGAGCACAAATGAAAACACAAATTCTACCCCCAAACTTGTCACTGGCATTTCACAAAAATTTCAAAAGAAATTCACAAATGACATCGCATTTAGAACTGTATTCTATCCAACTAAATTTTTAAGATAATTTTGAAGTACCAAAAGCATTTCAATTTTAACAATGTTTCATGGGTTCTGGTCTTTAACAGCAAACAGATATAACCTAATCTTAACAACTCAGAGCCATTATTGAGATCATGGATTTCTAATATGTATTATGATACATTTTTTAATCCTTTTTCTTGCTATTGTCATTCTGCTGTCAGTCTCCTCCCTCTTAGTTCTCTCACTCATTAAAACAAAAACCAAAAAAAAACGAAAACCCCTCCCAGTCTACTTACTGTTTAACAGCATTATGTTCTAGAGTTTTAAGTTCAGATTCTGTCCCCCTCACTTACTTAACATGTTTCCAACAATTACTTGTTCCCTCCCTGCCCTTATTCCACTCTTCCCTCTAGGCTAAGTAAACTTCCCACCCCAGTGACTTGGGGCTTGGCCATATGACCTGCTTTGGCCACGGAACCTAAATGGACACTCCATACTATGTCTGCTTGTATGGTTTGGCTCTGTCCGCCTTGAGCACCTGATCCTTCCCTGCCTTGAGAACAGCATGGTGCACATAGTGCCTACTCCTTCCACTCAGCCCCAGAACAAGTCATATGGAGTCAAGAAGACAAGACGGGCTGAGGCCAGAAGAGCCTCCAATGACTGAGGAATAAGGCTTTTGTAGCAAGCCACTGAAATTTGGGGGTGGTATGCTGCTGCGACACAGGCTAACTACACTCCATGACTACAGTCGAGTTCCTTAAGTTCTCTTAGTTTTACCTGCTACCTCTGTAAAATGGTGGTCATCACCTACCTCACACATTTGAAATAACGAGAATGTATATATGTAAAGTGCTTCACACAGTACCTGCACACAAGAGACACTCAATAGTCGTAGCTATTAAAATTCCTCTGATCTATCAGACAGGCAAGGTTCTAATAAATACATGCGTAAAAGATGACTCAAATACCAAATGACAGTCTGAAGTAAAATGCAGAAGCTTTCAAGGACTGACTGTGAGAGGTTTTTTTGGCATATTTCTTACTGAGTAGTTGAGGGTACCAGAAACATGAACCTTGGTTAACATAGGGAAGCAGGTGACAAGAACATGACCGCATATTTTCAGACATACAAACCTAATACCTCATGTAGAGAACAATGACCTGTTGAAAATCTAGTTACTTCAAAGTCCAGATATCTATAATCAACCCTGGCTAAAGGAATTATGCAAGTGAACAAAGACCTCTGAATTACAGGAAAAAGTGTGTTAAACTGTGATGTTTATTAAGAGGTAAAGAAGCCAACGCACATTAAATCTAAAAATCCCATCTGCAAAGAAAGTTTGATTTCTTGCTTCCCCCCTCGGTTAGAGCACAGGCTCTGAAACCAGCACCACGCATGCAATGCTCCCTATAAAAAGAGACACACTTAATGTCTCACCAACTTCATCCCATCTGACGGCTTCTACTGATGTCCAAAGAGAAAGAGGGATCGCCTTACAATGACCCATTTCAGAACCAGATCTCCAGGAATGCACTTTATTTCAAAACAGGGAATGCCCACAGCAGCCTGGCTCTACAATATTTCACTAACTATTTAGAATTGCTTAAATAAGACAAAACTGCACTTTCTACCACAATTCCAAGCCAGCAAGGCTACATTCATAGGGACTGGTTAGTCTTTAGTTGTTTGTTGTTGCTGTTTTTAATTATTCTAATCAAGGTACTAAACATCAATTTTAACAAACAGCTTTTCAAAAACACAGTAGAAAATGCTTGATCAATGAGCCACCCCAACATTTTTTAAATCTTAGTATAAACAGATTGTTACTAATAAATTATGCTGATTAAGAAACTGTCCAAACCAGTGTGATATATTACAAATATTTCTATTACATAATTAGATAATTAATGATCATACACCTAAGAAAGGCCCCCTGTTGGTTTAGAATCATTATGAACCAATCAAACTTCAATATACATAAGAAAATCTGTAAATTTATCTCACTGACTTACAGAAGCAAATCAAACTACTCAAAACATTTACCAATCCAGACTTTCTCCTTCACCATTTCCTGAGGGAAATTAACTGAAACAGCATCCTTGACGCAAACAGCATTTTGCTTAGAAAAGCGTATGCCACTGCTTAGGCCACACATACACGCAATGAGGATGAACAACAAAGAATAAAAACTGGATTAATTTTTTTCAGGAGGAAACAAGTCCTGACCAAAACTGTACATAAAGCAAAATCCTGACAAGCATCAATCTTGATATCTCTGCCCAGAGTGGATTCATCTGAGACACATCCTCCAGGAAAACAGACATTACTAACTCAGAACTTCTGACCTATCCGTCACAAGCTAGACTCAAATGGCTCACTACATTGGTTTTAAAAGGTGGGATAAGGCTTACAAAGTTTACTGTCTTTGTTGAAGAGAAAAGCATTAACTGCTTTCCAGTACTGCAGAATTTCTCATTTGATAGAACTGCTACACTACTTCTGATCAATTGTACCTAGTCAGTTATCTTATCTAGTCAGTTTTATCTATTAATTAAAACAGTTATAAGGAACCATGTTTACAAACTCTCCGTTAGCCAAGAAACTCAGCATACACATCCGTTTTCTGATAAATTCTACTGACCACAAAGTTAAAAATTACTACAAATGCCTTAACTGCATTTCTTTTTTGAAATTCTATTCTAGACGTCTTACTTGGTCAGAATTCCTTTTCTTTCAAAAGACACAAATTAGCAACACTCTACAGCATTACATTTAACAACAGTCAGGGTCACCTCATCATCTCCCCACGTTTATTTTTACCTTCTCCAGCCTCTCAAAGTACTCCCTGAGGAACGCCATGGGTCTCTCGGGTCGCGCAGTGCACAGCTGCACAATAGAATCCTTGAGCAGCGCCTGAATGTTGTGCTTCTGGACATAGAGCTCACACTCCCGGAGGCTGCGCTCCTCCTCAGTGCTGCCAGACGCCATGGTGCTCTACGAGGGAAAAACATATGCCTGAGAAAGCTATTTATGAACAGAAAATGCCAATTTGGTCTTTGACTTAACAAATTCACAACGATTTTCTTCTCTAAGTAGATTTTTTTTAAATAAGGACATAGGGCCTAGGGAATAAAATATGTAGAGAAATAGCATTCTTCCAAAGAAGTGTTTCATTTAGCTCCGGCTGAAGGATCTAGGTTCTGCAGGCAGCAACAGGGAGAGGCAATAACCTCAGCTCCTGGGAGGAAGTAGGAGCCACTATCCCCTGCAGAGGCGGGCTGCTGAGGAGTCAGGCCCTTGAGGGAATTTCATTCAGTTCTGCCCCTGCAAAAGAAATCACGATGACGTGGGAAGTGTGTAAATGGTAAATAGGACAGAGAATTACAAGGGCACACAAGTGCTCTAAGTGAAAGCAAGTGAGCACAACAAAGAACATCTGACGTTCCCTATCTGTAACTCCTACCCCAGGGGAGTGTTCTCCAGTCTCCCAGCAAACCACTAAAGCAAAGGATCTGCTTAGCCAACTACTAGCATAATCAAAAATTTTGAAAACACATAAGGAACCTCAGATAAGTTTTAAAAGCAATCTTTTATTCCAGATTCCAGCCCTAAATGATAACACACTTACCCACTGGTAAGAGGGAAAATCCTTAAAAGAAAACAAAAACAAAAACCCTTGCCAAGTAAATGATAAAAGATTTGGAGAGGAAAATGTCACAGCATTTTCTTCATCTGGACAGGAAAATGTTAAAACATTAAGTTTTAAACTTACATGACGATTCAATAGATAAACTGCATTTAATGAATTTTAGAGGGTTCAAACTACCTTCCAGTGAAGCAAAATAAATAGATATATAGTAATGAGAGGCTAACCGTACCCTGGAATTTAAAGTTTAGTAATTTAACGACAGAGTCACAAACTGTTTTCCTTCCAACTCCTAATTCCTGTACTAAGCAATTACGATTAGAAGATAAAATCTCTTCAAATCGAGGTGCCCTCCACTCTGCAAATGAATTCAATACTAATCCGACTTTTCAGAACACAATGCACACAAAACCGAAGTGAAACTTTCAATTTAAAAGGGGAGAGAGAGAAATACCCGAGTAAGAGCTAGTGTGTTACACTGTTACTCATTTTGTTTTGACAACTTTCATGACAAAGGTCAATAACGAGTAGACTAATTAACAGACCGTGAGAAAGTGTGCAGCTCCCTGACACGCACATAAATTAGAGGCAGGGAGAAAGAATTATGCTGTTATTCCAGAAATAAACGCTCAAGAAAAAAGTTCATTAACTTTAGGATGCATTTCTATCAGCCACTTTTCCAAGTCAACCATATGAACTCAGAACCCACTTCAGTAGAATTTTCTGCATTTCAAATAACACGGAAGGCCCCCAAAAACACTAAGTCAGATCTTTTATGCTTCAAAACATTCAGACATATTTCAGGACTATCAATACATGTATTCAACTGATCAGAGAAATCATTCAAAGATCAGGTCTTTGGCTGATAAAAATGAGCAGTGGGTCGAAGAGATGAAACTGGTTTTCTGTCTTAAACGATGTCTTAAAAAGTCCAAAAAGACGACACTGGTAATAAAGTAGCATGTTAACGAAAATGCCTCAAGATTAATGCAGTCACTATATAAACCACTGAATAGCCAAATTTCATGGTCTTCATATTTTTAATCTAATGTACCTAGATTCTGTACTTGTAGTTTTTAAGAGCCCAATAATTTAGCTTCTTCCCCTCAAAATTATTCGACTACTTTAAGACTTCCAATGCATTGTTTCTACTCATAAGAAAACACTCAGATTCTTTCTCTCGGGAATTCAGTTGTGATAAAATTCAGTTTGAAAAGGATTACACGCGAGGAAATATTTAAAACACTGAGAAACTTGCTGATTCAGACCGCAGCCCCTCAGACCAGCCAGGAACATTTCCTTGCGGTCATCGTGAGGAAGCGTTAGCTTTCCATCCTCTGCTGAAAAGACCAATCTCTGGGGAATCCCCCGCGTAGTTCAGTCGTTTGGCATCGCACCTGCCCTGAGCGGGAGGGGTTAACAGGTACCGCATAATTTTCGAGATAAAGGACAAGAAAGTGCCCTTCACTTCGCTTATGCCACAATCAAGGCCACAAAATGAAGAAGGGAGGCCGATCCTTCATCCTACGCTAATCAGAAGGCCACAGTGGTGGCCACGGCCCCAGAGAGAAAAAAAAATCTGGAAAGGAGGTGAAAGGAGACAAAAGGAAATTTCTGAACCAGGCTAATAAGATCATCGTGGGGGCGAGATGGGGGGTGAGTAATCTCGGGAAGGAGAGGGAAGGCAGGCGATTGCTGGACATGATACGGAGGAGACAGCAGAGAGGAAAACAAAAACTGCTGGGTCTCAAGATCAGCCAGAAACGCTGGGGGAAGCGATGGCGGATTCCGGTAAAATCGAGCGGTCGTCCTTCAGAAAGAGGGGGAGGGCGAGCGAGGAGGCCGCGGCGCGCGGGGGCGGAGGCGGCGGGGGCGCGAAGGCCGAGCAGAGCGGCAGAGGGCCGGGGGCCCCGGCGCCGCGGGGGGGGGGAGGGGGGCGGGGGGGGGGGGGGGGGGGGGGGGGGGCGGCCGGGAAGCCTCGAACCCGAGCGGACGCCCCGGCGGCCTGGGCCACCTCAGAGGTGCAGACTCGGGGCCGGGGGCGCGGCCGGGGGCGTGAGGCCTGCGGGGAGGCGCGGGCCGGGGCCAGGGAGGGGCAGGGGGTGCGGCCGTTCGCCTGCAGGTCGCTCCCCGTGGCGCCATCTTGGATCGGTCCAGCGCCTCCAAACGGGCGGCGGGGCGGCGAAGCTCGCCGCGCCGGGGCCCTCGGTCCACCCCACTCACCTGGGGACGGGCGGCGGCGGGCACGGGGCTTAGGGTCCGAGGCTGCGACCGGCTGAGCTCTTCCAGCGTTTCCCTCCCAGCTCAGCTCCACTCTGCGATAGCGGCTCCGCGGCGGCTCCACCGGAAACGACCTGGCCGCAGCCAATCAGCGCTCGGCTGCTGACGTCAATGCGCCTCGCTCTGGCCAGAGCCGTCGCCTTGGCAACCTTAAAGGCGCAGCCGCCGCAGTTCTTCCCCCGCCCCTCTTCCTCCTCGAATCTTTCTCCTCCTGCTCTTGTTTCCGCCTTACCTGGTCCCTTATCCGCAGCCCTTGCTTCAGTCCCGCCTCTTCTTTCCCCACTCTCTCCAGCCCGGTGCTTCCCTCCTTCTGTTCACCTGACCCTCCTTACCTGTTCCTCTCTGGATGCCTCAGGTCCCCTTTATTCTTCCTCTGCTCTTCGCTCGCTCTCCGCGCGGCTATCGAGAGCTCCCCTGTCTCCTCCGCTCCTCTCTCCTCCCCACTCTCACTCCTGGCTCGCTCGCCGCCTCTGCCTTTTCTCCCTCCCTTCAACCCCCACCCCCCACCCGTGCCGACCCACGTGGGGCGTCTCGGATGACAGGTGGGCGACTCCGCCCCGTGGCCCCTGCAAGGGGAGGACGCGGGGCCGGGGAGGGGAGATTCCTGCCGTTTCCAGACCCCGGAGGAGGCGGCGGCCCCGGCGGATCTGCGGCAGCTGCGCCGCGAGCCGAGAGCCGGCGGATGCCCGGGATGCGCACGCCCGGCTGTGCATCCTGTGCCCGGCCAGCGCCGCGCGGGCCTCTGCGCTCGGGCCCGCCATCCGGTCCAGGAAATCTGAGCCATGCCAAGTGTTTGCTTGGCAGACCGAGCTGCTCTCCCCTCCGGGGGTGCTGTCGTCAAAGGAGGCCACACGGTCCTTGTGGGCACAAGGCACGGGAAAGGATTTTGCAGGGTCCGAGAGAGGGCTCAGTCCTAGAACCTGAAATGCTCCCATCATCACGCCTGAGCCCTCATGGTGAGAAGTACAAAGCGTGCAGGTTGGCATAAACCCTTTGTGACCACACAAGAAATCTCAACTGCCCTCAAAAACTGCCCTGGTCAGGGATGACTGAGGGGAAAAAGGCGGCTTCTTTACTGCTTCAGCCATTTTTTTCCATCAGAGTATCTGCCGGTGGAGGAAGAAAGGGGAAGCAGTGGACAGTTTTAGGCATACAAAGTCGCTAAATGAAGAAAGGAGGACGGTATCCTTGTGTCTGGCTGGCATCTGCTGTACTTGCATGGTATATAGCTCTAGAGCTGTATGTGTAAAATACACAATGGATTTGGCACTTAATACAAAACATATATATACAATCTCAATAATTATGTATTGTTTCCAGGTTGAACTGGTAACATTTTGAATTTATTCGGTTAAATAGGATTAAAATTAATTTAGCGTTTGTTTTTTACTTTTTTAACATAGCTATTAGAAAAATTTTCGTGACATATATGGCTGGTGTTGTATTTCTCTTGGACAGCACTGCCCTAGGAGGCCCACTGCTCCCCTGAATCCACCAGTATGAGGGTCCTGCTCACCAGAGTGTTTCTTTTATTTAGTACTCGTTAGCCTCTGCTTTCTGAAAGTCAGAGGAAGTATAGGTAACATCAGAATCGCTGATTAGGCCCACAAGAGGAGAATGCAGAGGGTAGTTTCCCCTCCCACCAACTCCTCCCCAGGGATAGGAGGAATGGGGATTAAAGACAGAGCCTCTGTCATATAGGATTTCACCCCTCTCAGTACACAAGTCTAATAAACTGAACCCTAAGCTGGCAAGCAGGGGAAGGAATTCGATAGCACTGATTACGCCCGGTCGTGTTCTGAGAAGAAAACACTGCCGTCAGATAAATCTGAGTTTGGTTTCAGGCTCTGCCATCTCCGGTAATTGAGTTAATCTCCATGAGCCTCAGTTTCTTCAATCGTAAAAGGATAAGCAGGGCTCCGTTAAAATTAACTAGTAAAGATAATAATGACAAAGACCTATACAGTACTTATATGTTCCTGGCGCTGCTTGAAGTCCTTTTGACATGATAATTAGTTTAATCTCATAACTCTGTGGCATAAGTATTATTATTATTATTGTTATTGTTACAGAAGGAAAATGAGGCACGATGAGTTAAGTGATGTGCGCAAGGCTGCACAGTTAGTGTGGCTCACATCTAGGCAGTGATCTTTAATCACTCACTTTCCTATGCAGCATAGTATATATAAATAAAGTGCCCAACACCGTGTGGGATGCAATAAATAAATGTTTACTTCCCAAATCTCCCTCTTCCTAAAGAGCCACGCAAACTACAAAGTTAAGACTGAGTTGTACCGTGTCCAGCCATTAGTGTTACCTTCCTAAGGCAATCAAGACACTTGGAATAAGAAAACAAACTGGTGACATTGAGCCCAGTGCTTTGAATGACAGCTGTTTCCTTGCCTTAGCAAGGGTGTATGTCCCCATTCAGCTGCATTTAGGCGCCAGTCCAGCCACGGGCCTGTTTCCTGTGTCAGTCGCGCTCAGCCTTGTTCTAGCTGCCAAATCCTCATATGCTGGGGCTTTAAAAGACAAAAAGGGAAATGGGCAGGAGATAGTTGAGCCTGGGGAAGAGTTCACTGAGACAGCTGTTCTGAAAAACCAAACAGCCTCAGTGGTTTCCAAATGGTGTGAATGCTCTTTCACTATCACCCTGCGCTGTGAGAACAACAACTTGTAAATTACATTTCAGAAATGACATTTGTTCCACTGTCATTTCTGTGTGGCTTCTCCTTCTCCAGAGCCCTTCTGCCCTTGATTCCAAGGTCTATTGTCCTTTCCTTTGGCCTGTGTCCTTGAAAAGCTCAAGAAGTAGGTTTCTAGGATAGTGGGGTTGTAAGTAAATTTTTCTCCTTAAAACAAAATTCCTCAATTGCTGTTAACGATGTTTGTGAAACAATAGTAATCTTAAAGCAAAATAAACATCAGTGGTGCATTTAGGAAGCAGAAGTAGAACTAAGAGAGCCAATACATAAAAGGGAGGAATACTTCGGTGGCCCATTCTTAGTGTTTCTTATGCCTGAGGTTTCCGTTGGCTAAGGACAAATCCACATATTTCAGGTTTCCAGCGAGAGGCTTCTAGACCACCAGCACCTCTTTGTGATGTGCACTGGTGCTGAGTATTGATGCTTCCCCATGGAACCCAAGGCTGTGGTTTCAAACATAACCCAGTTCCAGCAAGCGTTGAAATGCCAAAAGTCTTCCTACTTTTTTCACTGGCAAATGCTTATCTAAACTGGGAATGAGTGTTTTCCTTGAGCATTAATTGAAACTATTAACCATGAAACAGAAGTGTGGCAATCTTGGGTCTAATAAAAATATCTTCATCCAAAATAGCGTATTTAAATCCAAATGTTCAACAGGAGAGATAGAGTTGTATTAGTCAGATTCTCCAGAGAAACAGAACCAACAGAATGTGTATCGAGAGAGGGAGAGAAAGATTTACTTTAAGGAATTGGCTTTCATCATTGTAGAAGCTGGCAAGACCAAAATCTGGAGGGCAGGCCGATAGGCTAGAGACCCAAGGAAGAGTAGATGTTGCAGCCTGGAGTCTGAAGGCAGTCTGGAGGCAGAACTCCTTCCTCAGGGAACCTCAATCTTTTCTGTTAAGGCCTTCAACTGATTGGATGAGGCCCACCCATTAGGAAGAGTACTTCACTCAAAATCTACTGATTTAAAAGTTAATTACATCCAAAAAGCACTTTCAACAACATCTAGATTACTGTCTGACTGAAAACTGGATATCAGAGCCTAGCCAAGTTGACACATAAAATTAATCATTACAAACAAGTCAAGCCCGGATATTTGTATGACTTGCCTCTAAATATTCTCCCTCTGATGTCAGTTTCCTATGCCTACACTATTTTTAACTAACGCTCACCTTAAATCAGTAGGTTATGGATTTCAGGCTTTAAAACACCAGCGACGGGTCTGTCACCCACACAGACGTTTTGAGTGTGTTGACTAAAATCAGGAACTTTGATTCTATCAAAATAACTAAGACAACAGATCTTGTTAGTGTAGCCCCCTGTTAGTATTTTACTGACCCTGTATCTATACCTCTTCCAAGAAATCTTAATTAAAAAAATTTTTTTTGGGGGGTGTCATATTCACCATTGGGAAGTTCATGCAAACAATGGGCTTTCTCCCCAGAAAATGTGCCCAAGCAGACACACATGTGATATTTATCATCTGATTTCAGGGGTCTCACAGATCCTGAAGCCCACCTCTTCATGGATCCCAGGTTCAGAAGCCTTTAAAAATGTTTCCTGAGCCTCCACACAGCAGATACCAGGAGCCGGGGATGCAGAGATGAATGAGTCATGGCCCTGCCCTCAGAAACTCACAGTCTTAGGAGGATGGCAAGAACATGGATGCTTCTACAGGTAGGCCAAACTATAGGGGGGAGGGAGGTTGAGGAGCACTGAAGGGGTAGGTAACCTGGCTTAGGAGGTCACAGAAGGCCACCCAGAAGAGGGGCTGGGACCAGTAGAACCCTGTCTGAGTCTTGCCTGGTCTTTCCAGTAAAGAAAACGGATGGGCAAGAGACAGCATGGCTCTTTAGAGAAAATATTTTTCAGGATTGCTGAAGGATAAGATGAGCGATGGTGAGGTGAAGCTGGAGGAGTACCAATGGCCTGATGCAGAAGGGCTGTCTAAGCCTTAGGCTGGGGGTTGGCAGGGTTTTTTTCTGTAAAGGGCCAGAGAGTAAATGTTTTAGACTTTTTGGGTGATCTGGCCACTGTGGCAACTTCTCAACTTGGCCATTGCAGCACAAAACCAGCCATAGATAGTATGGACATGAATGGTGTGGATGTGTTCCCAAAACACTTTAGAAACACTGAAATTTGAAATTGATATTCTTTTTAAATTCATAGACCTTATTTTTTTAGCAGTTTTAGGTCTGCAAAAAACTGAGCAGAAAGTACGGAGAGTTCCCAGACACCACCTCACTCCTGCCTATCCTGCATTTTCCTCTATTGTTATTGTGGTACATTTGTTGCAATTGATGAGCCAATATTGCTGTACTGTTATTAACCAGGTGCATAGTTTACCTTAGGGTTCGCTCTTGGTATTTGACCTTCTACAGATTTTGAAAAAT